GGGAAAGAAAAGGGACGGAGAGAAAGATGGCAAAGAGATGGAGGGAGGGAGGCTCTCTCACCCCCCATCAAGCCCCCGCCACCCCCACAGATCCCTTACTTACTGCTTCGGTGCCAGGGCTCTCCAGGCTTCCCCTGAGCTGCAGCGCTTCTGCGCAGGCCCGGGGAACCCGGCTGCAGGGCTCTCTGTGACCCCCTGGCCCCAGCACCTCTGTGCGGGCCCGGCGGACACGGCGGCGGGGCTCTCTGCACTTCCCCCCGCCCCACGCTTTGGCACGGGGACCTGGGGGCAGGGCTTGCCACCATATATATGGTGCACATATATATAATCTCTGCACATAGAAAAGTAGTTCACCAGGGTGAAGTTTAGGCAAGAGAGAGAGAGAGACAGAGAGAGGCAGGGACATAAAATGCGATTCCCTAACATTATGAACTTTGAAATGATGAAAGCCAAGAAGAACTCTAATATATGCTAAAAGCTGACCTTGGGCTCAGATGTCTGTCTGGGAATCTTTGCTGTTTGGGAATGAAAACTAGGGCTTTTCCACATTTCTCATTTTCCTCGCTTGTGTATTCCTGTTGCTTCAGGGGTTCCCCCCACATTCTGCATATGTTTTGTTCCCTCTAGTGGTCAATTTAATATTACACTGCTGTGTGTCCAGCATATCTCCCTGCAGATTTAAACTGCAGGTTTTTATGCTCTATCGAATTGTCCACTAGAGGGAGCAAAACATGTGCAGAATGGGGGGAGGGAACAAACCCGAAGCAACAGGAACACACAAGGAAAGAAAATGAGGATGCAGAAAAGCATCTAGCCTCTTGCACGCCAATGTGGCTACACATTGTTTCCCTTGTCCTGGTGGGACAATTTATGCACATTATCGAAGGGGACTTCTGCGGGCCTTGATTCTCTGTTGTGGCCTCAGACCCCTTTCTTCCATCCACCACCCTTAAGAGCTGCCCTTTCTCCCTTGGGGTGGGGGAAGCCAGATAATGTGCATTTCTTTCCCCCCGTTTGTCCCTTTCTAGGAACAAGGAGACCAGCCGAGATGAGTTTATCTTCTATTCCAAGCGCCTCATGAGGCTGCTGATTGAACACGCCTTGTCGTTTCTGCCGTTCCAGGTCAGTTCTTTGAAGCAAAGCCGTTTGAGCTGACAGTTGTTTTG